CCACAGGAATGTTTCCATTGTCTTAATGGCATCCCCTGCCCCCATCATATCTCACAACTATGTCACCTTTGTCACAAAGAACTAGCAAAACATAATACTGCATAATATAACAAATATTTATTAATGTCCTACCATGTCCTCAGCAGGATGCCAGTTACTAGAGATGCAGAGATGAGTAAGCAACACCTGTGGAGCACCTTTACGAGCAAAGCAGCACGCCAGGCACTGGGGATACAGTAACTGGTTCCTGCTCTCATAAAATTTATATGGTATTTCACACTCCAGTGGAAGGAGAGAGACGAATTGTGATTGGTGCAATAGAACTGAACATAGAGAACGAAGCAACTAATTCTGCTTTACTGTGACAGGGAAAGCTCTACAGAGAAAGCAAAATTTGAACTTGGCCTTGACGAGTGGGGTGCTTTAGCCTAACAAGGATCCTGCCTTATATTTCAGCATAAAAGCATGAAGACCTACTAAGTATATCTCATTTGTTAGGGGAGGTGTCAGTTAGGATGCTCTTGGCTGATGATTACAGAAAATCCAACTCAACATGGCCTAAAAAAGTAAGGAAATGTATTAACTCAAACGAGAAACCCAGAAGAAGGGTGCGGCAGAATTGGTTCATTCAGGGGCTCAAGGCACCACCAGAAACACAGGTCCTTCTTATCTTTCTGCTCTGCTATTCTTTTTTTTTTTTTCCCCTTTTTTTGTCTTTTTTCGTGACCGGCAACGGATTGCAACCCTCAGTGTCGCGCCCGTACCGGACCGGGACCGGCAACGGGATCGCAACCCTCGGTGTTGAGCCCGCACCTTGCTCAGCCAGTGAGCGGCCGGTCTGTATGTGGGATCCGAACCCTTGGTGGGAGCGCCCCTGCGCTTCCAAGCGGCACACTGTAGCAGTGCGCCACCGGGCCGGCCCTGCTCTGCTATTCTTACCCTCTGGGTGGTTCTCACCCTGGACATGTAATGGCCACAACCATTCAGGCATTGTATCCAGGCACAACAAGGGCCAAAGGAAAAAGAGATGGTCTCTTCATGAGTATAGAATTCTTTCTTAGGAGTTTCCCAGGAGACTCCCGTTTAGTCTCATTGGTCAGAATTGCATTGCTGTCCCCGACTATACCAACCTCTAATGTGGGAAATGAGACCAGCAGTGGCTGGACCTTGGGCTGGAACTGGAATCTGCCTCCACCATAGTACATGGCCATGGGGCAGGGATGGGAGAAGGTAGATATGCTGTGCAGCAACAAATTGAATCAGCTTCAGGAACCTAGAAGTATTGGTGTCATTAGTTCATAGGGAAACCATTGGGATGGTGAGCGCTTAGTTTGAAAGGAAGGCAGAAGGGAAACATAGCTTTGTATGCCATGCCAGGGTTTATACCTCAACCTCTATGCTATGGGGTGGGGTCATTTCTAGAAAAATTTCAAATTACATGGTTTCTAGCAAATAGCATCATTTTTAACAAGGTGCTTAGTTTATCTTGGATTGTCAATGATAACAAATAATATAGAGGTATTAAAAATACCAGGAAATGTGCATACTTATATATAATACACACACACACAAATAAACTTCTGCTTTGTTTTTGTTCCCAATTAAGAGTAGGGTTTACTTAGGAAATAAAAGACACTTAAGTTTAAAGCAATTTACTTAATGCAGTATAGTGTTAATTCTGTGAAATGGTTATTCTCTCAAAGAATATTTCTGATTATTGAACAATTAATTTATCAATCACACACTTTTTAAGAAAGGGATGGGGGGAAACAAATAAGAAGGAGAAGCAGAAGAGTAAACATTTTTTTACTTTGAACTTTTCCACGGCAAAGTCTTTATGGTTAAGCTGGAAAATAGCTCCCCCTTGTGTCCAAAACTCAGCTAATTGGTGATAACAGCAAAAAAGAAGCAAATTTTAAGCAAGTCTCCAGGAAGGAGGAGGAAGCAGGAAAACAGGAAAAGGCTGTCCCCTGCAGGATGATGTTATTCTTACATTTTTTTATGTTAGAAATTGCTGGTTCGCAAACACTCGAAACACCCCTTTCATTTATGTTGGCATGGTTAATTCTAATTGTTGACGCGCATTCCAAAAGCAGATTTACATTATCTATCCCATAGGAAAAAAAAATTTTTTTAACTCCCATCTTACGTATTTTCTGCATTCTCTCTAATATTCACTCTTGGCTTTTACAACATACAGAAGATGAAACAATCATAATAAACATTTTTACCTAATTTCCCCCAAACATTAGCAACTATGATTAGATAGCTAAGGGAGGTAACATCTTTGGAGGGTGAATGGGGGATTTAGAAAGACAAATGAAATAGGAAATTAGATAATCAAAGATGATTTCTAGAAATTGAATATTTTCAAATCGGCTGCATTGAGTATTATCCCCAAATCATCATCTACTATTTAAAGTAATAGCATAGTCATGTTTTATTATTTTAGGTAACCACACTCGTGGGTATAGACTCAGAATGCTGAATAAAGACTGCCATTTTTTGAAGATGATGAAGAATAACCTTACCAAAAAAATACAGATCTGAGTTTAGCTTTAATATCTAGAAAAATACTGAGGCAAATCACTGAGCAGACAATTTGTATTCATCCCCAAATTTCCAGAATGCTTTTTTTTAAAGCTAACATAGCTTTGTAAAGACAAAAGTGCACAACTTTAAGAGTAAGATAAGCTGAGATTAAGATGAATTAATATGTTAATCCAATTCTCTCAAATAATAATAATAGCTCTTATAATTATTTGCTCTAACATTTATTGAGGGCATACTATGAGCTAGGCATTGTGCTAAGCACTCTACATGTTATCTTATATAATACTGTTGTCATATAATTCACATTTCACAGATGAGAAAACTAAGACTTAAAGAGTTTAAGTAATGTGCCCAAGATCGAGTCGTGGAGTCAGATTTCAAACTCAGAGCACAACCTCTTAACCCTTTTTATTCACTGAAAACCAGGACTGGTATTCTCAGGCTCACATACTCCAATCCCCTGCATTTTAAGTTGCATCCAGTTTGGTCATGGGTATTCAGTTCAATCTGTAAGAGCAGAATGAAGGGAGAACTTCCACATGATGTAATCCCCAAATTGCTCAACAGAGACGTTGTTGTTAATAGAGCCAACTGGGGTCAATTAAAGAATAAAAAGTCAAAGGGGAGAAGAGCGTGGTATTTTGACTAAAGAGGGAAAGGCCAAGGATTCAATTTGGGAAGATTCTTTAGACTCTTGTAAAGGTGGGGATTTAGACTTTCTGATAAATTCACTTTCTGTGAACTGTATCATTAGATGATGACTGTACTCTTTAGCATCTGGGATCAAATTTTATTCTGGTTCAGTCCAGCCAGAGTTCTTTGACTCTAGATCTGGTTTGAGAAGGAATAGAGCAGTCTATTCTCACCTGGATCAATCCTGGGAAACTCATCCTCATCTTAATTCATCCAGAAATCACATCACAGTCTTTTATTTTATTTTTTCTGTTTCCATGATTCCCCAGCCAAAGGCTCTTCTAGAATGGAGTCATGCACAGAGCAGGCACCAAACTATTTGTTGAATGAGTGGAGGAAGTGATATAAAGAAGTCTTAAATTATGAAGAGGAACAAGCTAGACAAAGGAGAAGGAGAGAGAAAAACGTGTACAAAAACTGGGCAAAGTGAATTGTTGAGGGAACTGCAAGTGGCTGATGTGGCTGGAGGAAAGGCTGCGTGATAGAAGGGTACTGACGCTTAGTCGTAGCTAACAATCAGCACTGTGGAGCCTGCCAGCTTTGACTTGAATCCTGATTCCTGGGCAAGTTATATAACCTCTCTGAATGTGCCTCTTGGGGTGTGAGAAAGATTAAATGAATTATAGGATAAGAAGTGCTTAGAACAGTGCCTACTGCATAACAAGTACTCAGTAATTATGAACTCCTACTATTATTATCATGGATGGTGAGGCAGGCAAAGGACAGGTTGCAGAGGTTCCTATGTAAAAAGGAAAACAATTCAGACTTTACACCAAGAGGCATGGAGAGTTTATGAAGGTTTGTAAGAAGTAGGGATAAAGTGTGTTATTTGACTTTTGGAAAGGTTATTCTGGAATCTAGATAGAGGAAGGATTGAAGGAGACCAAACTGCAGACAGGAAGACCAGTGAGGGGGCAACTGCAGTCATCAAGGTGAAAAGAGATGGGAGCTTAACCCAGGTCAGTGTCAGGTGCGGTGGAGAGAGAGGGAGCATTGCGTGAGAGAAAGCAGGGAGAACCCACAGGATGGGCACCTGAATCTCAGTTGTCAGGCCTGGGCAGCTGGCTGAGTGAGGATGCCAGTCGCTGAGAATGGGTATGAGAGGAAAAGAGTGGATGTGGAGGACGATGGAGGACGTGGAGGACGATGGCGGATTTTACTTCTGTATGTGATGTCTTTGATTTTGGACATATTGAGTTTGAAGAGAGCAGCCAGGTACCAATGCCTAGTAGGCAATGGATAAATAGATTTGGTACTTCAGAACCAAAAAGAGAGATCAGAACCCTTTGGCAAGAACCCTGGCCAGTTTATTAAATGGAGCTGTTTATACTTCTGGACTGAAGAACAACTATTTTTTGTTAGTTGTTTAAGATGCTATCTCTGCCTTGATTATAGATAGAAATATTAAAAAGATTAACTAAACCCCATCTAGAAAATGGTTAAGTTCTGAGGTTCTTTTGGCAATTCAAGGGCATTACCATTTATTGTCAGACAGTAGTGACTGAAACGAAGTCACTGCTAATATCAAAGACGTACAAATCATTGATTAGGCTATATTTTGAGGATTTTGTTACCTGGTCCTCTTTGCAATGTCCTGCCTTTGGCCGGGACTTACAATATACAGTAATTATTTGAACATGCATATATAGATGTAAATATTAACGTGTGTGTATGTATAAAGTGTTTCTAGCTTTATGTTTTTCAGTCACACAAAAATTTTATTATGACTGTAATTTTTCAACTTTTACCCATAGGTATCTCTGATGAATATATAACACCTATGTTTAGTTTTTATAAAAGTGTTGGGGAATTGAAAATGACTCAAGAAGAGTATGCTCTGCTTACAGCAATTGTTATCCTCTCTCCAGGTAATTTCAATGTTACATTTTAATTTTTATGCCATTTTCTTCTCTCAGTATAATAATATAATGTTTATTAAAGAAGATCTGAACTGAGGTCATAAGAGGTGGGAAGGGGGGAGACACAGGGGGGGCTAGTGAGAAAATTGGTAAAGGCCACAAAAAATGATTTCATTGTGTAATGATAAATATAGTAATTATTAAAAAAGAAAGAAAGAGAAAAACAAAAATCTGAAACACAGAAACATAAAGAAAGTGTAAAATGGCTTATAACGTTGCCATTCAAATTGAACCATTGTTAATTTGTCAATGTCCTTCTCAGTCTTTTTTCTAAACACACTCCTTCATTCAGTAAATTCATATTGAACACCTACTGTGTACTGAACATGGTTCTAGACATTGGGGATACAACAGGATACAGCTCCCATGAAGCTTACATTCTAGTAGGGAGAAAGATGATAAATGAAGAAACAAATAAAAATAATTTTTCAGGAGGAGGTAAATGCTACAAAAAATAAAATGACAATATAAGGGGGAAAAGTAGCAGGAGAATGGTATTTTATTTTATTCTTTTCTTTATTTTTATTTTCTTTCTTTTTCTTTTTTTTTTCTTTGAGAATGGTATTTAATTAGTGGTCAGGGAAGGCTTTTCTAAGTGGCTGACATTTGAGCAGGGACCTAAGTGAAATTTCTCACTTTTTAACATAATATAGAACATAGTGTCTCTCTCTTTTTTAAAGATCGAAATTGGCTTTATGTGCGATTCTAGAGTCAGATAATACATCATTCCATAAAATAGAACAAGTGTTCCCTGTGTCTCTTTTTCAAACTTTACAGTTCTTCAAAAGTCTTTTCCCAAATCATTAAAAAATTATATTGGTAAAAGTTTGTTATAATGTGTGCATGATATTCCATTGCATGGATGTGCAATCATCTACTTATTCTTTAGCATGTATTTGTATATTCAGAATGTTTCCATTTTTGTGTGTGTGTTTTAAACAATGTTAAAATGAATACCTCTGCTCATAAAGTTTGTCTATATTTTTGGATTACTTTAATAATTTGGGAGTGATGTCATGTTCCTAGTTTATAAAGCGTAATTACAATGTTAGCTTTAAACCATTTTTATACATGATATTGAGGCAGAAGCTAGTTGTTACTTTATTTTAGTATAAAAAATTATGATTAAAAAAAGAAAACTGTTCATCAGAACCTACTAATGTTGTGCATGTATATACCCAGCAATTCTACCAGAAAGGCTGTTTATGTCCACCATATGGGTTACCTTTAGGGGTTTTGATGGGAAGGGGAATTTAGGGAGGCTTCTGTGGATCATTACATGTTCTGTATCTTGATCTAGTTGTGATTACACGGGGATATATTTGTGTGCATAAAAATCTATCAAGTTGAACACTTATTTTGTACATTTTAAACATACAACATTTGTAAACTCACACTTCAAAAAAGTAAACATTGCCATACTTACGCCAAATTCATGCTTTTCCTCTCTTTTATTTTGTCATTTTATTTTAAACTTCGAAACAGACAGACAATACATCAAAGATAGAGAGGCCGTGGAGAAGCTTCAGGAACCACTGCTTGATTTGCTACAAAAGTTGTGTAAGATTTATCAGCCTGAAAATCCTCAACACTTTGCCTGTCTCCTGGGCCGCCTTACTGAATTGCGGACATTCAATCATCACCATGCTGAGATGCTGATGTCCTGGAGAGTGAATGACCACAAGTTTACCCCACTTCTCTGTGAAATCTGGGATGTGCAGTGAGGAACATCACAGGGGAAGGGTCTAGCTCCTTTTTTCCTCGTAATAGATATCCGATGTATAACTTCTTTTATTTCATTTGTACCTGGTTTCACTCAAGAATCTCGATGAATATTTATGTAGCAATTATACAACTTCCACAATTGTAAATACCAGGCTAGATAGAATTACTTTCTCTACGTTGCATTTTACAAAGCTTCGGGGAATCCTACACTCTCTTTGGCATGCCATTTGCCATTTGCCTAACTGAATTGATCGTTATTTCAATTCTATCTGTTGAGTTAGGGAAATCTCATTTTTCTCTTCATTTACTGTATTGCATATATTTTATTAAAGTGTTGTATTCAGTTTTGACAATAAACCAAACATAATGCCAACAGGCTTTTCTTTGGGGAAAAAATTGACAAATATACCTTATTTCTTCTCCTTTTTTAAAAGATTGAAACATGATTGTATATATTTATGGGGTACAGAGTTGACTATCAGTATTTGTGTACAATATGTGATGATCAAATTAGGAAAGTTAGCATATTCATTACAAAATGTACTCATTCTTTATGTCTATTAACGAATTTCTCCCTAACTCCCCTGCTTCCCCTTTCTCCCCCGTAATAACCACAGTTCTGTGTTCTCCTTATGAAAATTCAATGTATTATTGTGTTATTTGTTTCTTTCTTTCTCTTTCTGTGCCTGGCTTATTTCACTTAACATAATTTTCTCCCAGTTCATTCGTGGAACTGAAAGTTTTATTCAATGAAATAAAAAATACAACTGAGAGCATAAGCAGCAGGCTAGAGTAAGCAGAAGAAAGAATTTCCAATCACAAAGACAGTCTTTCTGAAATAACGCAGGTGCACAAGATAAAGAAAAAAGAATTTTTAGAAATGAAGAAAATCTATGAGAGCTAACATGCCCTTATTTCTTTAAATGATGAAAGACATCTTATTGAACCTGAGGGCATAATTTATAGAGGACAAACTCTTGCAACATATGTAGTACTTTTCTCATCCCTGAAGTCCTGGTGAATATTCATTCATTTTTATTAGCCCTGTAGGATCATTCTATTTTCTTCGAAGTTCAAAAAGAATAGCATACAGAAAGTGATTTTCACATAAAATGTTCCCTCAAGCAATCCCATTCCTGATAGGGTCTTGAGACAGCATTTGCAAATTCAGACTATGCAGATAACCACAGTGATGAGACATTCCCTTATCTCTCTTAAAAGTGCTCACTGTATAGATTCATTGCACACAATCATTTTTTGTTTTGTTTTGCTTTTTGAAAACACTCCTACAGCTGGGTGCACAGCTGTTGTATACTTCCCCCAAAGCAGGAATTACTTCATTTCCTTCCTTCATTGTTATATTATTGCGTTCTTCTGCCCATTGTCCTTTGGTGAATACAATAAAACACCTTCGATAGGTAATGGGCTTCTAGCTCCCTTTCTCCTGAAGTCAGACAAAATGGAGCATGCTCAGCAAAGCAAAGAGTTTTTTGTAATAAAATACTAGGGCAACCCTGAGATTCTAAAAATAACTAGTCAGTGGAAAAGGGAGTGAGTTGGGCTAGCATCATTTGGATTCTATTTGTTATAACAAAAATATCTTGAGTCTCCACTAGTACAAGATTCTTTTGCTAAACTCCATGGAAGATAAAAAGATGATTTAGACCCAGTAGCTTCCTGGAGAGGGGATATAATGGGGTACAGAGGAAAATGCTGTGGGCCTACCAAGGGACCTGGGAAAGTCTCATTTCCACTGGGCTTAAAAATATAGACCTGAATTCCATTGGTTAGGGTAAGAAAGAAGGGGGTTCAAGGTGAATGAGGTGGCAGGAGCAGAAGGAGGAAGGTGGGGAATTGTGCAGGCATTAAAAGACCATAAGTAATCTGGGGAGAGAGGTCAGGTGCACAGTCCCTTTCTAAGCTTCAGTTTCACCATTGTACAGTGAAGATATCAACATCTACTGCTTAAAGGGATTTAGGTGATCAATGAAGAGTGAGTGCCCACCAGGGGAGAGGGATGGCAAAGAAAGGACATTTAAGACAGAAGTAAATTTCTGAATGCCTGAAAGCATAGATCCATTTTGGGGGAACTGAGTGTGGTTTGGTGTCTCGAGATCACAAGCTAAAAAGTGCAGAAAGTGATGGGAAATGAGCTGGAACTGATGGGGCACTGTAGACAGAGCTAGAAACTTAATCTATAATAGGTCAGTATTTATTCAAGTGGTTAAGACCTTATCAAAGCAAACAATAATGCTTATCATACCGAAGACTAGTTGTGAGACTGTAAGAAATACATTTTTGGTCTTTGCTCCTAGTTTTTGATACAGAGCTTCTCTGGAATTCCCTGAGTGATAGGGGTAATAGGAGCATATTTTGGTATTCATAACAAGCCCCCTTCAACCATACCTAAGTTTGTGTGAATAAGATGACCCTTAGTGGGAACCTTAGATAGCTTCAGGAAGGGTGCTGGTTGTCATAGGAACCAACTCAGAGGGTTGGAACTTTCAACCCCCAACCCTAACTTCTGGGAGGGGAGAAGGGCTAAAGATTGCATTGATAATCAGTGGCCAATGATTTAATCAACCATGCTTAACAAATAAAACCTCCATTAAAACCCGAAACAACAGGGTTTGGAAAAATTGCAGGGTGGTGAACACATTGATGTCCCTGGAGGATGGCATGCCTGGAGAGGGCACGGAAACTCAGTACTCCTCCTCTTCCCCCAAACCTTGCCCTGTGCATCTCTTCCATTTGGCTGTTTCTGAGTTGTATCCTTTATATTAAACTGGTAATATTAAGCAAACTGTTTTCCTGAGTGTTGTGAGGTGTCTACCAAATCATTGAGCTCAGGAGGGAACCCCTGATTTATAGTTGGTTGGTCAGAAAATATAGGTGATGACCCAGGATGTGGGACTGGTGTCTGAAGTGGGAGCAGTCTTGTAGGACCCAGCCCTTAACCTGTGGGGTCTGCTCTAACTCTGGGTAGTGTCAGAATTGCACTGAATTGTAAGACACTCAGCTGGTGTCAGAGCCAGTTGTAGATAAGAAAAAAAAAAAAAAAAAAAAAAAAAAAACACATTGAGTGTCAGAAGTGTTGTGAGTAGAAACAGTTCACTAATGGATTTTTTTTCAGAAATAATTTTTATGAGACTTTAAGAAAAAGTCAAAGAATAAGATAAAGAGTAAAAGAAGCAAAGTAAAATTTGAAATCAGATATCACACCCTTAAAGAAATATGGCAGAATCTGGCTTTATGGTCAGAAAATGCATTATCATTGATACGAAGCATCACAGAAGCAGATCTGCCTCTAATTAGCTATGTATCCTTTTGGAAAACAAACAAACTTTTTAAAAAAAAAGTCTCTATAAGCCTTAGTTTCCTTATGTGTAAAATGTGGACAATATGCTTTTCCTACCTGACAGGGCTGGTGTGAAAATCAAGCATGATAATGTTTTAAAAGCAATTTATTTAGGAGGTTGGCTAGTTAGCTCAGTTGGTTAGAGCATGGTGCTGATAACACAAAGGTCCAGTGTTCAATCCCTGTATCGGCCGGCTGCAAATAAAATAAAATAAATTTATTTGGCAGTACATGCCAGTACTAACCATCAAAATAAATGCTAACTATTATTATTAATAAAATTGACTGCCATAAGCTGGTATTGCTGTGTTTTATTTCTAAAATCCCTTGATTTTTTTTATGTAATGGACTGAATAAAACATGATTCATGGAATTTATAATCTAGTAAAGGAGACAGACAAGAAATAAGTACATAAAAATGAAGTACAAATTATAAGTGCTATGAAAAAAGGTCTCTCTCGCATTCTGATGTGTACTTTATGGATCATTTTCCACACTTAGAGTGACCTCTTTCTAAAATGCAAATCTGGTTCTGTGTCCCCTCCCACTTAATGGTTTCCCACACTGGCTTCAGCAAAAACTCTTAGATCCTTGGCAGAGCAGTTGGCTATTTGGATTCTTCACCATCTGATTCCACTCCAGCCTTGTCTCTGGCCCCTGCCTAAATTCTAGGCATCCAGATAAAATGCATTTCCCAGAGTTCCATATTCTCTTAAACCGAGTGAGGAAGGAAGAGGATAGAGAAATGGGCAAATATAAGGGTTTCCTTAAGCTCTTTCTTTCCCCCTTTCACCAGCCATTCACGATGGGGGTGGGGGGGATTTTGTCCCCCAGGGGACATTTGGCAATGTCTGGAGACAGTTTTGGTTGCCATGACTGGGGGGTAGGGATGCTACTGGCACCTAGTAGGTAAAGGCTAGGGATATTACTAAACACCCTACAATGCATGGAATAGCCTCCCACAGAAATTATCTGTTCCAAAATATCAATTGTGCTGAGGTTGAGGAATGCTGCTCTCTCCTATGCTGTCTTAGTCTGTTTGGGCTGCTGTAACAAAATACCGTAAACTAGGTAGGTTATAAACAACAGGAATTTGTTTTTTCAGTCCTGAAGGCTGGAAAACCCAAGACCAAGGCAGATTCTGTGTCTGGTGAAGGCCTATGTATTAGTTTGTTTCTGTTGCTTATAACGAAATAGCTGGAATTGGGTAATTTATAAGAAAACAAAATTTATTGTTTACAGTTTCAGAGAGTAGGAAGTCCAAAGTCTGGGAACACAAATGGTGAGAGTCTTCTTTGGTGGTGGCTTTACAGCAATGCAGGGGTCTCAGATGGCTGCAAATGGTGGAGCAGAGAGAGAGTGCCTCATGCACTCTCCTTCTAAAGCCCTCAGAACCACACCCACAACCACCACTAAACCATTCATTATGGCAGGGTCCTCACAATCCAATCACCTCTTCAAGGCCCTGCCTTTCAATTACCATAATAGGATTACCCACCCTAAACAGTTATAGTGGGAATTAAGTTTGGGGGGGGGGTCATTCTATCCAAGGCAGCCTGCTTCCTGGTTCATAGATGGCACCTTCTAGCAGTGTCCTCATAGGGTCGAAAGGGCTAGCTAGCTCTTTGGGGTCTCTTTTATAAAGGCACTAATCCCATTCATGAGGGCTCCACCCCCATTGCCTAATTACCTCCCAAAGGTCCCACCTCTTAATATTATCTCCTTGGAGGTTAGGATTTCAACATATTAATTTTGGGGGTAGGAGTGTGTGGCACAAATATTCAGATCATAGCACATCCCAAGCAGATATGACCTCTACACTTTCTTCTAACTTGATCTAGCTTCAGCGTCATTCTCAACAGTGGCAGTTCTCTAGTTCATATCAACATTGCACACAATCACTTTATTAGTGAATCCAAATACCAGATATGAGCACTGGTTTTGAAGTTTTCTTTCTTTGTGATTGAAATCAGAAACTGTTTTTACTCATTGACTCTATACAAAATTTTACTTTTTCCA